AATGCGCTTTACACAATTGATGTATGTATAGAATGTGATGGGAGTTGTATGAGTCCCTAATAAAATGATTTTTTAAAAATTACAGTAGTATACAATTGCTATCACACACAAAAAGAGTCTCCTTAAATACTTCCACAATAATTGTATTAGATGTCGATATATCTGTTTCTGATACATCCTGGCAAGCCATCCATCCTCTTTGGAGGCAGACAGCGCTCAGTTCCAAGCTGTCTCAGAGAACGTGTGGATACAGAAATGATTAAGACTCAGTTCCTGTCTCCAGGACGGGGAATTCAGCTAAAAAACTGACACGCCTAAGCCTCAGTAACCATAGCAACTAAACAATAGCATTAGCAAGGATGGTCTCAAAGAGTGAGATCTTGGAGAACACTATTGGGAAAGAGCAGCTGACACTGCCCTGAGGAATCCAGCGAGGCTGCCTGGAGACGGTGTTCTAGGCTAGATCAAAAAGAGAGCGCTCTAAGGAGGTCACAGCCAAACAAAGGTTACAGAGGAGAGAAAACAGGTGCCACTGAGTGGCTTCTGGCTCACGGCAGTCACCGTGCGTTTCAGGGAAGAGCTGCACTCCGCAGCGTTTTTAGGCAGGTTGCCGGGTCTTTCTTCCGATGGGCCTCTGGGTGGCTTGGACCTCTCAGTTAGTAGCCCGGAACTTAACTGTTTGCACCACCCAGGGTGGTCAGGCTGGCAAAGAGTTCAGCAGAGCTGTAGCCTGGACTACCGCCTAAAATACTCCCTCCGCCCCCTGAACCCTGGCTGGGAGCGAGGCGCTGGCCTGTGTGCTGGGGCAGCCTTCTGGGAGAGGCAGGAGAACAGTCCCGAGGCCCCAGCTTGGAACTGTCCGAGTTAGTTTTCACTGGGTGGAAGGTGGGTCATGAGGCATCTGGTCATTAGTTTTGACACATCCCGGCAGAGCTTCCTGAGGTGTGTTAGTTCCCGGGGACATGAGCTGTTTTTTGTTTGTTTGCTTGTTTACTTATAAATAATTTTATTGGGCGCTCTGACAGCTCTTATAACAATCCATACATCCATTATGTCAAGCGCATTTGTATTTATGTTGCCATCATTTTCTTTCTACTTGAGCCCCGGTATCAGTCCCTCTTTTTTCCCTCCCTCCCCC